CAACATACAAAGTTAGCTAACACACACACACACACACACACACACACACACGCACACATGCACACATACACACACCTCTGGGAGTCTGACAATCAATCAGAATACATTTCTTACACAGGAATAGAAAACAGAGAGGTGAGGCCAAACAGAGAGTATAAAAAACTCGGGAACTCTCAGCAAGCCCCTTCGCTTCTTTTTCTTCACTCTACATCTTCGAAGCACGTGATGCCCTTTTTGCCTAGGACCTCAAGCCATGTGGTCCTGTCCTCCATTAAAACCATGTTTCCAAGCAATCTCCATGTTTCCAGTGTCCATTTAGCTTGTAGTATTGCACAGACACATATACAGGGAAAGAAAATCACTTCCAATGTTAGCCACAATCTATGTGCTTCCTTCTCTTGGACTTTTGGACATTCTAAGATTGCGGTAACTCGATCCTGGTCATTTTGCTTTGTTTGGTCGGACACTTATTTTTATATTGCATCCTCCTGTTCCTTTCCTGGTCACCTCTACTCAGTGGTATGCTGGTAAATGTTTAAGAACTGGAGCACTGTTGTTGCATTGCTACCACAGCATCGATAAATACAGAACAGCTGATTAGCACAGCAGGTGGAATCTGCTCTCAGCCAGCTCACAAAATTCCAGAATTCCATGAGCTTTTGAGAGGCATCTTCAGCAAATCACATCCTCTACTTCAAGGTTTTCCCTTTCTCAGGCTGATCTATTATTCTTTCCTTTTATTAGCATTGCTCTGTTTTCTACCTGCTACCCATCTCTACTTCCTTTAAATCTCCCTGGGAACCAGAAAAATTCTACAGAAAACTAGGTTGAGTAACTGAATCCCATTTGAAAACTTTAAAAAGTTTTATGAACCCATGGCGTATTTCAGCAAGAATATGTCTAGCAAGTAGTTATCTGTAAATGTAGCAATGCTGGTAGGTATCATGCTATCTATTCCTAATAGAAAGACAAGTTCATGTAACAGTGAAAGTTTTTAAATAAAATGTTACACCCCTAATCATAATTAAGATTTAAAAAATATTTTACAGCTCTTTCTTCTATCATCACAATATTTGCATTTTTCTTGTTTGACAAAGACATACTGATATTAAATATTCATCAAAGCTTTACTACAGCCATCTTGGGAAAAGGAAACTTGAAATATTTCAACTGTTTTTTGGAAGACAGGAGGCAGGGAAATATTTCTGTTGTGAATGTGAATAGGAAAAGAACTAGAATTATGCCTCATGAGAAATCTAAGCATAGTATAGCCCTTAAGAGATTATGATGTGACTAATTGCTGGTAGTAAGATTGAGGACGCTCCTAGAGATGCCCCGGAAAAGCTCCTTAACAAAAGTACGCAGCTGAAGTAGAAGGTAAAGGTGCAGATTAAAACAGTTCTTTGCATATCCCAAGGCCTCCTTATTTTGTGCTTCCAAGAATTCCATGTTCTTAATACTGAAGCATCTAGTAATAACTAGAGAATACAGGACAATGTAAATCAGGTGTTTTAAATGTGAAAGACTTGGAAAGGTAGCAAGCTATTTTTCTTGATCTCTGTGGTGAAAATTTTTATAATAATAAATTTGTTGTAGATACAGGCAATGAATAAATAACTAAGTAAGTAAGTAAATAAATAACAGAAATCTATTATATGGATGCTGAAATGTAAGAATTTGACCTACTAGTAACAAAAGCCAAGCAAAATTTATTTTATTTATTTTATTTGTTTTCCACCCAGCTCACTACCCATACTAAATATGCTTTTAGTAAAATTAGAAAAAAAGGATTGATGAATGCTTCAATTTCAATATTTGCTATAAAAGTTTAGTGAAAGTGTTTTTTTCGATGGCCTAATTTGACAGTAAAAGTACCTCTACTGAAGAGCATTTCCTCGGAAATATTGTGTGATTCACAAGAAGTCCCTCTCCCGATTCCACAAAAAGAAACATATTTGATTATTATTTTATAGTTATCTTACCTTTCTCCCATCAGTAGTATATAATTTCAATACTGAATACTGCATTAATTCACTGATATGGTCCAGAAAGGCCTCAAAATTTTGTGTGTTCTTCTTATCCAAGACAACTCTACACCAGATTTTTGCATTGCCATTTCTGAAAACAAGCAGCTTCTTAGGGGTGCTCAGTCGCATAGTGCTACCCCGTTGGAACATACTCCCTTTGCTTTCTCTGGTTAACTGTACAGCCTTACGACGAGCACTGATTGGCCTACTAATCTGCCATGGCAACGGCTTTCTTCTGGCCACCTCCAAATTAATGGGTTTGATTTTTTTTTGTTGGGAGCAAATGTATGACTTTCCATCTTCAAGGTCTTCCAGATTATTGATATTGTGCACTCCTCTGGGTGTAGTAATGTTCCTTACTCCAAAAGGCAGTGGAACTTTTTTTGATAAGTTGTCAAGCAGAGCATCAAATGATCTAAAAGAGCGGCTATTGACAACCATTTTAATTCCATTAAACTGAGGATCTCCACTCTTATAAAAGCAGATCCGTTTGGCCACACTAGGTTCGATGACATTGGATGGGTGCACAGATAAAGACTGATCACTCGGTGAACTTTGAGGTTGGATCACTGAGTTGTTGGTTGAAGATGTTTTACTCATTGTAAAAGCAATCTGGAAATAAAGAGGCAAGAAGTGAATCCCAAGAAGAGCATTTTCCTAATTTATGTACAGCCAACAAAGGAGATTTCAACAAAAGCTACAACAGTAATGCTTGCCAAGATTAATGATTCAAATAGGTCCATGCTGTTATCTCCAAATTTCACAAAGACTGGTAGGAGCTAGCTGATATCTTTATTTGCAGATTTAAGCAGAATTCTCCAATGTATTTTCACAGATCTTATTTTGTTACAATTACAATTTTTATATGGCAATATGTACTTAGTCACACCAGAATAACAATTAGAGGGATTTTGTTTCAACAGCATACATAACTGCAAATTTCCTATTTTTACATTATGAACATTTTTATTCAGAAGAATATTTTTTCATGTTGTTCAAGGTTGATGAATCCAGAAAATCAAAGCTTTGTGAAGAAATATAGAGCACAACACAGAAGGAAAATTTCACCATAGCCTTGCATTGATTTCTGTCTTTGTGAGAGAGTGGGGAGAGCGCTTATACATCTCTCTCTCTCTCTCAATATACTAATGGACACAAAGAATTTTACCTTCATCTGTTAATTACAATTTGCATATTTTTGATGAGAAAAAAATGGAAGAATTTTTTCCATTAGAAGAATAGAAGAATCAAATAGAAGAATTTCCTTCAAGAATGGTGCTTGTATAAATTAATTTATAGCCAAGCATTTTCAAGCTTTTATTATTATACTTATTACAAATTATATGTGGTTGTGTCAATTTCAAAATCCAATTTAACTTTATACAAATATTGCTTTATATTCATCTGATTAAATATTCATATTCTGTTTAATTTTTCTTGGGTTTCCTTAACATGTTGTTCAGTTCTACACAGAATGCAGATATATTCATTGTTGAATGGTACCTTTCAAGAGGAAAATTCCACCTTCCTGGAAAAATGATCTGTGCTCCCAAACCGCTTTTAGAAATCCAGTGAAGGAAGCAAAGAATTTGGTTCCATTGATAAATTTAGAAGATTCTTCAGGTATAATTGTGTATCCCCAAAACTCACCTGTTGTATCTATCTTTATCTTTACCTATCTAACCTTTAGCCTCTTGTTGAGTCTCCTCCTTCTGCCTCCCAACCCCTTTATTTATTAAATTATTAATCTTGACTAGAGTATATTAGGAGTGTATTTTCAATGCCAAGATTCGCTCTATATTCAACATGGAAATTTTTTTTTGAGTACTTACAAGATGTTTTGACACAATCAAACCAAATATTAAATAAAACAGCCAAAGACTTACAATTAACTAACATTGTTTAAAGATCAATTGTGTGCAGTGAATTAACAGATGGGTATATTCTACATATATAAGAATCTAACTTTACTGGATGGAAAAAAGAAAAGTTTTATTTATTGCGGGAACTTATTTCTCTTAGAAGTCAAGAAAATAACTCTGGGAAGCCCATCTCTGAGCCAAGTGGGCAATTCTTTTTGCCTACTATTGTTCCTCATAATTGGGTTTTAAAGTGTACTTATGAACATCATATGTGCCAATTTTGATTAATAATACTGTTTTATCCTCCATCATCTCTCCACAGTAGAATACAGTGCCCCTATATGGCTCAATAGCTGCCATATTAGTAAGGTAGAATCCAAACTCAATAACATCATGAGGGTTATAAGCAGATGCATTAAAGTCACCCCAACTTTCTGGCTTTCTTTTCCGAGCCATATAACACTGCCAGCTTTACAAAAGCAAGATGCATTAGTGAGAGGATTCAGACAAAATATGAACAATTATGAACAATTCATTCCTATCAATACATACCAATCTTCATCATTTAACCATTGGAAAGTTCAAATCCAAGAAGCCACCACTGGTTAAGCCAACATCTGCTTAAAAACTTTAACATTGATTCTCAATGGAAAGCCAAATGGGTTGCTGAAAGCCCAGCATAGGTAGATATATAAATCACCCTATACAAAAGGTGCCAGGTTTTGAATTATCACACCAGCAATGGACAACTTTGAATCAGATTCAATAAAGCATATCTTCCCTCAATGTAACTGCAGGCTCCCACATCAAACGCTAGATTACACGATGACCGGCTATAAACTGAGGGCATATACCAGTCCAGTACTTGATTATTTTCTCACATAAATGATGCTGCTCTTCAATGGTTAGATTGCCTAGACATTTCTATCTAAATATAGATCTTTTTAACATTCATATGCTATTGTGTTTTAATCTAGGTGACATGTAAATAAATATTGCAAATCCATGTATGATACGCCATCACCATATGCTAAATAAATACATTCATCTAATAAAAGTGATAGTTAGAACTGAAACTGTAATATATATATATATGATTCAAGCTTCAATGCAAACTGAAGTTAGAAACATCTTATCAAAGAGTAAAAGATTATGTATGTATGTATGTATGTATGTATGTATGTATGTATGTATGTATGTATGTATGTATGTATTCCCTCTCTTTTTTCCTGAATCTCTCACCTTTTAGATTCATTGGACAGCCTGAAGTTCTAGTATTATGAGAAAAAGACATACATACTTTGCATTACAGGACTAAGAAGCAACAGCATGATTCAAGCTTCAATGCAAACTGAAGTTAGAAACATCTTATCAAAAAGTAAAATATTATACATACATACATACATACATACATACATACATACATACATACATACATACATACATACATACATACATAACTTCTAGCCTTAGTGGCAGATGTTGGAAACATCGATGCCTTATGGTTGATTTATAATCAATTGAGCAATCCTATGCACACATATTTGGAGGTGGTTTTAGGATTGCACTTTGATTCTTGTATATCAGGTATATAATTGCAGGTCATAGAGGTACTACGATGATGCATTTGATCTGCAAATATCATTTCTAAATATTAAAAAGTAGCTCCTCTTTGGAATGATCTTTACAGTTTAAAAATGTACCATAAAAATACTAACTAATATGCTGAACACTTTAACACAGGAAAAAATTCTTAACATCCAAACAATTACAACTAGACTAGTGGTTTTGTAATACTTACTCAGGATTATACCTAATATGAAATAAATCTTGCTCTTCTTTTTCTGAAGAACAGATAGAAAATAATTCAAAGCTTTCTACTAATTCTCAAATTAGGTTACACAGAAAACAAGTAGTACTCTATAAATTAAGTAAAAACATTCCACATTATGTTAGTTTAACTTGTGTGTGTGTGTGTGTGTGTCTGTGTGTCTGTGTAAAAATCCTGAAGCACTGATAGAAAAAAACATTTGCTATGCATTTTTCCCATTAGTATTCACACATTCCTTTGGTTTATTATCTTCCGGAACTAACTGAGCTTCAATCTCTTGGTTGTTAATACCATTATTCCAGCTGGTAGATCATATATTCAGGGCTATTTTCATCCTCATAATAAATTCTTTTTATAATTATATTCATCTAGCCAAATAATGAGAGATTATTCTGAGAGCGAGAATTCCTGGTGTCCTTACTTTTAGTGGAGCAAATGAGTCTAGATCATCCAATTCTATGGTTTCCTTTCTTTGTGGTTTTACCCAGCTTGCCATAGATTCCTTCCAGTCAATGAAAAGGCTGCATCAAGGAGGGTTGACAACCAAGCAATTGCATTTGATCAGCATTTCTGCAGATTCAGGGGATTATGATGCTTTATATATGTAAGATGCTGATCTCCAGATGGCAACTGTTCCATCTAATTACTACAAAATGTATAATCAGATCTGAAGCTTCTCTTCTTAGACAGGATTACAACAGGCCTGCCATGCTAACTGTACAGAAAGCATAATAAAAGCACAGCAGATATGCATCATGGTTCTTAACTGGTTGTCCCCATTTCTTTAGGACATATTTTTACACATTTTAAAGCTAACTGTAGATCTTGCTTTGCTTCAAGATGTGGTTTTTTCTTTCTTTCTGGGTTATACTTTTCCAATGAAATAAATGTTTAGGACTGATACATTGATAATATATTGATAGTTATAATAGAGTTACTTGCTGAAATTGGCAGGAAGAGAAGGGGAGTGAAGGGAGAGGAGGGGAAGGGAAGGAAAGAGAAGAGAAGAGCTTACATCCTGTTATGTTATCTGTAATACCATCAAATAGCATCATCTGCCTATCCTGGGTCTTTGGGAAGAACTTGATAGGTAGGTAAAAAACCAAATTCTGTGTAAACATCTGATTGGCTGTGCAACAAACCATAATGATAGCAATTATGTATGTGATTCATTACGAATTCATAACAACTTCATTTCAAGTACTCCATCTAAAACAATAATTTCATATCCAAAATAGCCAAGGCAATACTATGCAACATAGATTTGTATTCTGTTCTGTATGTTCAAAACCTGTATTAACTACTGGAAATTATTTTTAAATATAAGTCAGATATGCTACCTTTGAATGATTTCAAATTTTAATAGTTTCCTTTTCAGTAAGATGACTTGACATTTCTTGCATTGAATGTTCTGATAAATATTGGAGTCTGTATCCTTCACTTTTTATTCCTTTGCAGAACATGAAGTTCCAAGACTCTCCAGAATAACTTTACAACCATTTGTTGTGCTCGTGCAACGCAACATGTTTAATTGGGTTAAGTTGGGATTAGCATATCGTGTGAGCACTGTAATCAGTCAGCACTGAAATCGGAGGGTAGAATCCAAAGGCCAGGGTGAGGAACCAACCTGCCCAGCCAGTGTATCATCTGAAGGGCAGTTTCATATTTTGTTTTATCTCAGGGAAGTAGCATGCTGGGTTAGGGTCTGATGTGTCATCTGAAAGCAGCCATGGGCTACTGAACTGATCATTTTATACATGGAAGTGATGTTACCAGACAAGAGATGCCACAATGCTACACCAACAATAAATTTCATCATGGCTTAGCAAAATGTAAAAGTACGGTAAAAACTCAGCCAACATGATTCATTTGGTTTTTGTATTGCTTGAACCCATTCAATATCTCTCTTGCGTGTATCT